GTAACAGGCAGCAGGTGCACATAAAGATCTTAAAACAATGCAGATATATATATATACGGTACCTTCCATATTATGTTTTAAGATTACAGACTTTACAGAATAACCTTCATCAAATAATTGGATATGTAAATAACATTTGAACATTTAAAGTGTATTTGACTAAAGTAATTAAACAATCAAAATTTCAAAATAAATTTGTAAACATAAATTTTCTTAAATTTGGGTACCGATGTAGCTCCTGTAGCAACAAGCTACTTTGTAAAAAATAACATAATAAGTTGTTTGTTAATATTGAGAGACTAAAGCTGTCATTCGAGCCAGTGTTTCGTCTAAGGTTTTTTTTTTTTTTCGGATGCAAAGTAACTCGTTATTCTTCGTTTCGTAGGAGGCTTCTCGTCGGTTCTGGCATCATTCAACTGTTGACTCGAACTAGGTAAATTTTTGTCGGCTGAAGTTACTTTCAAATTATGCTTAGTTGATAAGTGCGTATGAAAGCCTTTTGTTTTGAACCACCCAATGTTTTCAAAATTACACCACATTTCTTACATTTTGCTGCCAAATTATCCGCAGACTTCAAATAATGTGACCACACTGAAGTTGGGTCTTTATCTTTTTTGTGTAGAAAAAATGATGTTCCCTTTTCACTGTTTTCATTCATGTTTAGAAGGATATTTTTTTAAGGTGCATTAGTAAACAACATATTATTGCGGTAAACACCAAAAGCATTAAAAAGGTTATCAGTTCAAAACGTTCAAAACGATTCATTCCACAGTCAAATTTTGTATGTATTCACACTAGAATTCCTTCAAGCGGAATTAATTGTCAAGGGCATTATAATGTTGCAATAACTAATAATTGTACAAATATAGTTATACAAATCGCTAGAAATATCCCAAAGGGAATTGTTATGTAGTAATCATTAAATTTTTTTAGATATAATTTTTTTTTTATTACTTGTTCATTTTTATTTTTTTCATTTTCTAAAAATATTTTTTGAAATGAACTAAACGACTTAATAAACTCAAGCAATCACTTAACCACAAATTCGCTCTAACCACGAATTCGCTCAAGGAATAATTTTAAAATTTATCTTTTTAACGCGAGAAGTCTTGCCAACAAACTTAACGATTGTTTTTTATACAATAGTCAAACAAACCTGCCTTAATTTCTGTTTGTGAAACTTTTTTCAATGATAAAATCCCGAACTCCATGGTCAATTCAAAAATTTGTTCCATTTATCGTAAGGATAAAGCATAAACAGGATAAACCTGCAAAGCAGCATTATATAACTCGTTATAATTCAGTATAGTTACCAACTTTGAACATTTTGTTTTACAAAATAATTTAATTAGTTCAATCCTGCTACAATCCCGAAAATCCCGGGATTTTGTGTTTTGAATCGCGGGTTTTTCGGGACCCAAAAACGTCCGGGATCTCGGGATCCCGAGATTGCAATCCCTAAACATGACTAGCTCCCTTTACTTTTGCAATTTGAATTAGGTTCAGCTTGCTGTGTTTAATTTTCCACTTCCTGGTTTTTTCTGACACTTGTATTGAACTTGTAAGTGCAGTGGTAAAAATGCGGGCATTTTTTGTTATTAAACAAACCCGTTGTGGCTATTGATGTTTTTACAAAAGTATCTTTTTTTTTGACAGTCAATTTGAAGGTCATATAATTTTTTAAGAAATATTTAACAAAAGTAATTGCATAGACTCATATATAGGTAACCAAAAAATAACATAAACCCAATTTGCATAAAAGTGGACATTTGAAGTTTTCATCTCAAGGGCTTAACTTCCCTTTAAACAATCATTTGTAATATTCGCTTTAGGCAATCATAAGAAATTGCTTCACATGCAATTCCATACGAACTAAAGGATCCAAAAAATCAAAAAAGAAAATCGGAGTTTCAATCAGGGGCGGATTTTTTCACTCGCCAAGGAGAGGGCTAAAAAAGGCTGCTAGCCAATGAAAGTACTCAGAGTGCTAATTTAGAATTTCTGAAGCAAAAATCTATTTGCATTCTAAATTTTAAGAAAATTTCTCATTATTAGGATATTGTGGTAATAACTTATTTTGGCAATGATAAAAATAATAATGATAATAGTAACAATAAAAATACCAATTTTATTAGTAATTATGATAATAACAATAATAATAATAACAATAATAGCAGTAATAATATTAATAATAATAGTAATAACTGTAACAACAACATCATAAATAACAATAATAAAAAAACAATAATTATAATAGTCAGTTAGAAATAGGGTAGTAATATAATGAACAATATTAATTTGAGAAAAAAATTGAAAACGAATAAGCATTAGAAGTAATATGAAACGAGGATAGTAGTAAAAATGAAACGCAATTATTAGTAAATTTTTTGCAAATACAAAGTTAAAATGGATAGTAAGCAATAGAACAGTATTGCTAGCAAAAGAATAACTAGCCATAGAAGAGTATAGGAATTAGGCAGAAAACCTGTTTAATAAAAAGTTTAATAGACTGTTTTTAAATTAGGAAAATGTAGTGAGAGATTTTAACTGTGAGGGGAGATTATTACATGTCATATGCTCTGATATTTGCTAGATTCATGACCATAATAAACAGTTCTCTGTTTTAATGATCTAAGTTTTAGTATTCTAAGTTTCTTTTGACTTTTTACGATATTTTCTTCATATTCAATCTTTTCCTCCAAATAATTAATAAACAGTTTTCCTTTTGTCTCTTCATCAGTTTCCGTTTCTGCTTCAATACCCGATTCAGTTTCTTTGCTGTTCGCAATTTTGTGACAATCTTTTTTAGCGTATATCAAATCAAAAGAAAAAATGAATTGAATAATTCTGGCAGATCTGATGCGACAACTTAATCATGTTGCCTAATTTCAGCATCCACCAACATTCATCTGTAGTTTTAATTGTAATATATCACAAGCCAAATTTTTTAGTCTTTCCATTATAAAAAATGTTCAAATGTTTCAACAAAATATGGAGATGGCAATTCACTTTTCCTATGGAATACGTGAAATCGTGGTTAACATTTAAATTTTAGTATCTTCTACCTCTATTGATACACCATTCGTCACCTGTTAAACCTCAGATATTTGTTTTAAATTAATTTAATTTAAATAACTTAGCTTTGAATTAACAAATGTTTAATTACATTTACCTTTTAGATAAATAATTTCTTATATTTATTTTTTATTTTGTTTGTTTTTAAAATTAAATTATAATATTAAATTCCTAGCCAACTGTAACGTCATATTAGGTTATCATTGAAAAAAAAATTTCTTAACACATTTTTTGAAAACAACTACTTAAAGTTAGTGTAAAAGCAGCAGAAAAAAGAAGAACTAAATTATTTTACCAATAAAAAAATGATTTTTTTGAAAAGCTTTGTCGATGTTCCGTCGAGTTTTTTTGATTTCTCTCTAACTCCGAAACTCAGAAAAACCGAGAAAAATCCGACGAGATTCCGAAAAACTTTATATTTTATTAATTTGCTTTAACTACGCTGAAAAGTAAACATTTCTATTCCATCGGCGTGAGAACCACGTTGTTGATCTATAAAGACGTAATCTGTTAATTTAAGTTGTGAACTTTGTTCGTTATTTTTACTAAATTTCCCCTCCGGAATTTTATATAAACTTTAAAAACCCGTTGTAATTAAAACTTTTGGTAAATTATGAATTTAACGCTCACAATCATCACCAAATTTGCAAAGTGCGGTACAATTACAAAGATCTCTCCAGCTTTTCTCTATTTTGCAGCAATTGAATAAACTGCGCCAGTGCCGGATCAAGGGGGGATATACATAGCCCTTGGGCTCCGCAAATTTAGGGGACCTTTTTTTTTATGTCATTTTTAGGCTTTGGCCCATAAAAAGGCCTTCAAAAACAAAAATAGCCCTGGGCCCCAAAAAATCATAATCCGCCTCTGAACTGCACATTATGTAAGCTTCCAGAATCGTCATTCAAACATATATAGCCTTCCATAATCAAACCCTCCTCAAATGGATTAGGCATGGCGAGTTCTAATGTAATGATTCTGTCCAGAAATACTTAGCCTCCTAAACAACTCTAAAAATATGCAGTCGCAAAGCATTTTGGTTAGGGTAAAGTATCTTGTGTAAATAAGTTAACCGTATTTACTACTTTTTTGTCATTGAGACCAAGAAAAAGAAGCTCTAAACTTTCTACTTTAAATGGATTACACATGTCTGAAACTACGTTAACTAAATTTGTAACTTGAGACCTATTTTGATGACTTTCATGATGAAAATGATTTAGTTACTCTCAGTGATTTTCCTCCGAATTAATAATGAATAATTTAATATACATTGAATAACGCTATATTGCCCATACTGGTAGTCACAACGCACGTTATATAACAAATACTAAATGGTACACGCTCATTATATACCAAATACAAAATGAGGTAAACAGACATAATTATATGACTGATGGTTTAGGTTGGTGTTGATGTATTAGTTCTTCTCAAAATAAATAAAAGAATAAAATAAAGAGTTATTTTAGTAATAAAATTTTATCTAAATCTGAAATTTAATTTTTATTTTTCCGGTTTGCAGTTCGCAGTTTCCATATTTACCAATTTTGCTTTGGTCTCTAAGCAACTGCGCAATATTTATGCGTCGTGCGTTTTAATGACGTTACGCAGTAAATAACGTCATTAAGAAATTTTTTAAGAAGATTTTTTACACACTTCATAATTTTTATTCTGTAAGCGTGGTGTTATATGTTTTAAATCAGAATAAAAAAAAGTCATAAAAGTTGAAGTAATTTAAAATGAAAATAACTTTTATAAACTTTATTACACTTTGTAGCAAATGCTTCAAAAAAAGCTAAGAAAGCAAAAACAGAATATTTAACATATAGTTGACAAAAATAGATTTAAAAAAAACAAAGGCCATCAATAGAAACCGGATTCAATAAACAAGTATATCGAGTTTCAATCACGCTACTTATGACAACTTTTTTTTAAGTTAAATTTCTCTCGTTAATGCTTTGATTGTTTTTGATTTAGATATTTTAAAGTTAAAATAAAAAAAAAGTTTGCAAAACTTAATCAAGCTACTAAAATATTACGAAGTATGACATTTTTTGCCGTTTAACCTGAATATGTTACGTTTTTATTGGTAATAAATAAAGAAGTGTTCAATAAACGAAGCAAAGTCATTACGTACATTATTACAAAGTCATTCAGTATCTTGGGTAAGTATAGCATAAATTTGGATATAATTAATGGTTAGTTTAATTATAATAATTACTAACTATAATTAATGAAATGTATTTAATGGAAAATATTTCAGTAATTTTAGAAACATTTGATTGAAAACAAAGAAAAGTAAGAATATGCAGCATTCACCGTCAAATGATCGACGTCACTCACCCAAATCAAGATCAAAGAAGTACAGCGACAACGATGTTGTTGTACCTCAAAACTTCATACCTGGTTACACTACACCAGAACTTGTTAGAAGTATCACAAAATCTCGCTCTAAATCGTTTAACAAAGATGCATTAAATGGAACCGAAGGGAAATATATTAATATCACTAAGATGATTGGTGAAACAAAAAATGAAGCATCAACTGAAGAACATAACTGCCATCCGTTACTAAAACAAAAACATTCAAAAATTGGTTCCATCTGGCCACTCAGTCTAAAACATAAAAAGGATAAAACTGAAACTTTAGCTCGTGAAAACGCTATAGACTTAAGTAACTGTCCTAGCCCTAATGATTTTAGACGCGAAAGTATTGTCGAAACAATTGACTACACTCATCCAACTGTTTTACGTAAAAACACTTTAGATACAATTGAGTATAATGTAAATAACTTACTTCCAGATAAAATTTTGAGAAAAGAATACGGTATTAAAAAGTGGAAAAGCTTGGAAACAATGCAAAACTATAAGTTGTAATATATTTTCTATTATAATAAAAAATTATCGTTAAACGCTTCACATAAGCTTAAAAAGCAGTTCTTATAATATAATGATTATAGTATTCTAGCAATTGTAAATGAATAAAAAATTTTAATTATCAAAATAATATATATTATTTTATTAAAATTAGGACAATTATTGTCATTATCACCAGTTAAAACATATATTTATATATGCTTTAACTGGTGATATATATATATATATATATATATATATATATATATATATATATATATATATATATATATATATATATATATATATACATATATAATGCTTATGGCTACTATTATTGTTTTAGTTTCTTCTTGTTTTTTTTTTTTTTTTATATATACAAAACGATTGAAGTAGATAATCACAAAATATTAAAGACAAAAAATGAGCGAAAAACTGTTATTACAACTTTATCAAAACAGGTGAAAATCGAAAGACACAGCAAAGAAGCACTTTTTTTTTAAAAAAAAAACACACACACTTTGAAGAAGTAATATTGAAAAAATATTTAATTATTTATGTGTTTAAAACAAACAAACTCGTAATTTAAAAACTTTTTTCTAGGTTTGGAAAATGATTCTGATTTCTTTTATGTTTTCTATATATAAAGTAATCAGAAAATATTATTATGCTGCAGAAAAAGTAGCTGTTTAGATAACATATCTAATATTTGAAACTTAAATACATTTGATTTATATTATATTATTCATTTTATTACGTGGCTCATATGACAAGTGCCTAATTAGATATAATATATAGTTATAAATTTATTTTATATTTATCTATGAAAATGTCTATTTATAAATCTAGGTAGTGAACTTTAAATAATTTCTCTTCATAAGTTACCCGCCACCCCAATTTTATGGATTTTATTGAGCAACATAAGTAAATGTTATTATACCTTAAAAGGTATGAAAGTTTTTCAAAAGTTTTTGATTAATACAGAAGCAGGAAACAACGCATGCTAGAAAAACTCAAAAAATGTTATATATTTTTAAAGTAATCTTAAACTGTGGACCACATGAAACGCAACTGATAACGTCATCACTATGATGTCACCAGTCATGATGTTATCTTGATTTAAAGATAAATGGAGGTCCAGAGTGAAATACATTGACTAGCAGGATGGGGTGTAAGAGTTAGGGTGTGACGTTTCCGTCCAAGGCTAAAATCAAAGTATATATAACTAAAAAAATACTTTAGTGAGCCACTAGATCAACTTTTTCACTTCCATCCAACCTGAACCAGACTTTGTAAATGCGTTGATTAGTGGTCCTCTTTTTCATCAGTTTTTGTATGAACTTCGTATTGATTTAAAAACAACAAAATTGGTTATAAAATGTTACTGGCGACAGCGACACAATTACCGAGTTTGTAATTAATTTTTTGATCGCTATTGATGAGTTTTAAATTGATAAATCGCGAAAAGCAATTTATCAATCTAAAACTTAAAAATTAAAAAATGTATTTCACTCTGGACATCCATTTATCTTTAAATCAAGATAACATCATGACTGATGACATCATAGTGATGACGTTTTTTTAAATATATGTTTTGCGAAATTATTTTTAAAGTGCGCTGAAATATTTTTTTATTTTGTCTTAAAAAGGAAAAGTGCTTAAAGACAAAATTTTTTTTACTATTCCGATATTTATCTTATGAATCCATCGTCTCATGAAACTTTGATATATTTCTTGCCAAGTTATAATTCCATTGGTGTAAATAAATGACTATGATTTCTAGATACTAAATAACTCCTAACTGTTGCAATGACATCAACAAACCTTCTATCAAATTATCTTTAAGCTAAACTGATAAGTGTTCAAAAAATAACAAAATTAAATGCACTTACAACAATGTATATACTTACTGAATTCTGTAAATATACATACTTACAGAATTCTGTAAGTATGTATATTTATACATGTACATTTCATTTTTATACTATTTTTGTTTATGGTAATGTATATTATAGGACTTACGTTACCTTATTTTTTAAGCGTTTGATATATTAGATAAGCTGAGCTGAGCCCCAACACCATATTCTTAAATTGGTTCCAGGCCCCAAACCTCAGCGCGTTTGATACTCTTCAATCTACGGAAACTTCTCCTAACTACAGTTACGAAACATCTGTTTCTGAATTTTTGAATTTTTCATTTGTAGTTTAATAGTTAATGACTGAGGCATTAATGCATAATGATCATTAAAGATATCATACTCTATCATTGCTTTTACATACTCTTTCCCTCCTTTTTCAATGTTCATGTTGTTAGTGTAAATTGTTCATACAAATTTAAATAAATATGTGTCTTCCTCATATAGTTTTAATGGGGTTAAACATTTATAAATACTGATTGTCACAAAAAGTCAAAAAATACTATATAATATTTAAAAATACAAGTTGCCAAATAAATATATGTTATATTTAAAGTATAGTATATAAAATTTACATATAATATTTAAAAATACAAACAGTTAAATAAGAAGATATAATGTTTAAAAAATTTCAAATTTATTCGTAAATAAAATTTTAAAATTATAAATAAAAATTATTCCTTAAGATTTAAAGCATAACTTTTTGTTTGTAACTGAAATGACTTTAATGATTTTGCCATATTTAAATTATCTTTCATAAAAGAGTTCCATAGCTTTGATTCTCTATAAGTTAAATTATATTCTATAAACTTTATTCTGTGAATTTGATTACTTTTTTAGGTAATTTAGGTGTTGCTTAGATTTTTTCTTAAAAAATACTTCTCATTTAGATTTTGATTAAATTTGCTTATAAAGATTTTAGGAGGTTGTTGCGAAAGGTTAGTAGTTAGTAGTTAGTAAAGGAAAGTGTTAGTAAATATTTATTTGATATATGTTCATCATCATATCTAGGTTTAGTGAGGTCCCCCGTTTTCGGTTAAATGTATTGTGTTTATTCAACGTTAAAAAAGTTTATATTGCTATTAGATAAAAAAAAAGATTTGTATTTTCTGCAAGCTTGATAGTATTTAGTTTTACGGATGCATTATTAAAATATAAATTATTAATATAACTCATTAATATAAAATAAAAATAAGAGCGGAAGGATTGATCCTTGAAGCAATCCACACAGGCTATTCAGTTTTTAGATTTCTTATTTTAAACGTATTGCTTTCTATTAGTTAGATAAATTTTTATCCAATGATATAATCTATTATTTAGTACCCCGTGACATTTTCAGTTTTCTAACAGAATAAAATGACCAATTAAAGTAATAAAACTTCAATCGACTGTTTTCTAACAGAATAAAGTGACCAATCAAAGTGATAAAATATCAATCGACTGTTTTTGCACAAAAATAAAGTATGTTGTTTTTTTATTATCAAAATATTAGTTATACTGTAAAATGTTTGCTTTTGTTATCTATTAGATATCGAAAATTAGATAACAAAATCAATTAAGTGATGCAAAGACGGAATGTTCACAGTGACAGATCCTGGAGTTTCTGGTGGGTAGGTGGGGAGGGTAGATATTGAAATATTTTTATATTTTGTACCACATTTGCGTCTCCTAAAAAAAAAAGTGCTCAACTTCTAAGATATTTTTGATTTTTCAGATTCTGGTAGTGGTGATAGTGGGGGGGGGGGGGGGGAGAGGGAGGGGGAATGCATACCCCCATACCATCTTTCCCCTGGATTTTATATTTTTTTTTATTTGTATTTTTATGAAAGCAAAAAATCAGTTTTATCAGCATTTGGCTTAATACAATTTAAGTACTGTAAATATTATATTTCGAGACCTGAGAGTGTAGAGCTTAAAAGTATAGTATCATTGGAAGATGCTACCACGCTGTAGCATTATCCGTGATCAAACGTTAATATATGATTATATAATCGGCAATTATATATATATTCGTGATGATCTCGTAGTTTATGCCTCAAAATTTCTCCAATCAGTTTTGTTGAAGCTATCAACCCTCATAAAACCAATAAGTTAATTGGCTGCATATATTGTCATCCAACTTTAAATTCAAAATAATTCATCACATACCATTTAACTATTTACTTGAGAAATTAAGTTATGAATAAAAAACATTATACTAATGACTGATTTTAACATGGACTAAATTAATTATAGAGAATTTCCGATTATTTCTAATTATCTCTAAACATTATGCTCTTGCTTGCTTTTCTCCACCATTATTCTTCCAACACATATTTCAAAAAAAAAAATCCAAATTCTCATTAATAATATTTTCATAGACTTCTATTCTCCTGAAACAAACTCTGGCAATCTAGCAATTTCTATTTCAGACCACATGGCCTAGTCCCTCTGTATTTCTGGTTTAACTCCCAAAAAAATTTCTAGATGATTCAAAAAACTGGGAGGTCCAAATAAAAGATTAACAAATTTAAGTTTTATAGAAATAAAATAAGCAACTTTTAACAATACGAAAAAATGTATTATATTTAATTTTTCAACAACAGCATCAAGGGAACTCCTAAAGAGTGTTAAGGGAACTCTGAAAGGAATAAAAGAAGTTATTAACATCAAATCTACTACATACAATAAATCTTTTAACCTTAAAATAAATGATAAAGTCATCGCTGATCTAACTATAATTGCTAATATTTTTAACAATTACTTTGCCACTATCCAAGAGAATCTAGCAAACAAAAAAAAGATCTCCTTATATAATTTTGAAGACTTTTTAAAAAATCTTAATAAAAGTTCTTTTTTCTTTGAGCCAGTGACTGAATTTTATTCAGAACATAATCTTGAAGCCACTACCCATAATGATGAATAACTCATTCAATAATAGAATTTTCCCAGATGTCCTTAAGATAGCTAAAGTAACACCAATACATAGAAAAAGTTCTCCTGGATTATTCTAATTATCGCTCGATTTCTATTATCTTAAATATAAGCAGGCTATTTAAGAAAGCTATACTTAATAGACTCTTCAACTTTTTGGAGAAATTCAAGTGTTTTTATAAAAATCAGTATGGGTTTAGAAGCAATCATTAAACAAATCATGCAATATTGATATAGCTGAAAAAATTGTAACAGCTTTTAACAGCAAATTGTTTGCATGTGGTGTTTTTTTTGATCTTCAAAAAATCTTTGATACAATTTACCATTCCCTTTGAATCAGAAAATTGGAATACTACGATATTAGAGGCACAACACTCTAATAGTTTTTTTCTTATCTTCAAAACAGAACACAATTTGTTTCTATTAATGGGATAGAATCTGAATTAATAAAATCAACAAATGGTGTCCCACAAAACTCTGTATTAAAACCATTGCTTTTCCTTCTCTTTATTAATGATCTAAACACCTCTCTGAAATTTTCCACTGCTTACTATTTCGCTAATGACACCAATCTACTTTTAATAAAAAAAATTTAAAAGATAAACAAAAATATTAACAATATTAAAAATATTAAGTGGTCAAAATATAGATCCTATGAACTTTATTAAGTATTTCGGTATCAAAATTGATTATAACTTAAGTTTTTCATCCCATTTCAACACTTAGCACTGATACTGAGCAGGTCCAACGGTATGTTAGCCGAAATTCGACATTATTTTAATCTCGAAATGCTCCTTAACTCATCTTAAATATTCTTGTCAAATATGGGAACAAACCCAGTCTCTACATTTTATAAGATAATCTCATTTTCAAAGTAAACCCCTAAAAATAATCTATTTTCAGCATTTTAACTCCGATACTAACATCCTCTACTACATATCAAAGATACTTGAATTAAAGGATCTTATTCAACACTCCAACTATTTTTTTTATTTGGAAACAGCAACATAAAACTTTACCTCCTCCATTTACTGATTTTTTTACTTATAAAAAAAATACTCATTACCATCTTCAGTTAGAAAAAAGCTTCAAATTATCTATACCTAAACATAGAACTGTTATTACAACCACGAATCTATTAAATATCAGAGCATATGCACATGGAATAGTCTTCCCCGACAGTTAAAATCTCTCCCTACATCTTTCAAACTCAAAAACAGTCAATTTAATTTTTTATTAAACAAGTATTCTTCCTAATCCTTTCAATGCTGATTTGTTGCTACTTTCTACTACACTCCTCATTTCAATACTGAATTATTACTAATATTTGCTCTTTTTTAATTTTTTCACAAGTTAATATTGTTTTTTATATCACTATTCTATTTCAAACTCTCACAATTATAAAATATGGTCATTTTTATTATTGTTATTATAGCTATATCTCCATTTTTCGACCCTCCTTCCTTCCCCCTTTGTCAAATTGTCAATTTTAGGCCAAACCCCTTATATATGATGTCAGTTTTTGTCCCCCCCCATCCTCTCAGAAAACATTTATAAAATACGTAAACATCATTGGTTTTTTTCTGGTTAAATTATACATTTATATAATAGTAGATCTTAGCAAATTATATTATAGACTAGATAGTATCTCATAAAATAATCAACTAAGCAAATAATATTCTATATCTATAACATAAATTCACTTACTCATCATCTTCCCATTCTGTCTCACTTTTTCATCTAACCATTCTGTCTGACGCTTGGCAGTGATGCAAACTGGTTGGACCCTTTTAATAGGAGGGAGTGTTAAAGAGGAAAAATGGATAGAAACGTGTTTTTTCAGGATAGATTAGGAGGCAAAGTAGAAATCTCACTTTTTAGGACATTGTTTCTTGAAAATAAGATTATCAACGTTGGGGAGAAGAAATAAACGTTCTGGGCATTTAACAAGACGTTGAAATAAACGATTAAAAATACACACTAAGGATTATAGAAATTTCTTTTTTTTTTAAAAAAAAAAAAAGAGGAAAAATTTGTTTTTTTTTTAAACTTGTTTTATACTCTGTTCCGAAATTTTTGCCGATTTGCATTCAACGTAAAAAATTATTCAAAAAAAATTATGTTTAATTTTTTTTAAATTTTATGTAAAATATATATTATTTTATACAATAAAAAATGAAAAAGGTTAACAACTTAATTTATTTTTATTATAGTTCTATACATTGAATGCAAAACAGAATGCAGTAAAAAGTATCAAAAAAAGAAGGGACTTCATTCGTTCTGAAATACTGTTCCGATTTGTGACTTTGTAATCGCGAACTTAAATGTACCCAATCATATAAACATTTAAACAGAGAGAAGCGGTATTTAATGAGAATAATTTACATGCATAACAGAATGTGGAGTCCTTAGTTTTGGAATAAAACAATCAGTTTCATTTGTATTGTTCCCCATTTGTTAATTTTCTTAAATAATGACATTGAGTAAATTTTTATTATTATAATCTTTTGGAAAATCGTAAATTTTCACTTGCATTACGCCATTTTGTATAATTGTCATTCTAAGTTTACCACCTATATTTTGAGGCCAAATGCCGGGATCATTGATAGTAATACTAGTTACATCATCTTCGTCGATATCTTGATTGTTTTGAAGCTGGATACTTTTCACTGATTCATCTTGTTTATTTGATATCGATAAGAAGTCTTCTTTGTTTACGTTTCCCTCTGCTTCATTAACATTTTTCTTTTGTTGAATTGTCGTATCCACGTTTTCACCATCATTGAGGATGATACTAGGTATATGATAATTAATTAGTTTCTTGCACCTTTTCTGGTTTTAAAAATTTTGCCAGACAGTCTCTTTGTTTTAGCTTCTTCTCTTTTACTTTTCTTTTTTAATTTATCATAGCCACACGTATACTTTCGTCTTCTTTCCCTAGAAATCATTTTTAGAACTTTCTAAAAACTATTTTGGCTATTATAAAGGACAACACCATAAGATATGGCGGAAAAAATAATCAAAAAGAGTAAAATTAATGAGGAAATTAAAAAAAATTTTAAAACGTTAAAAAAATGGAACGTTTTATTGTCGTAAATTATAAAAACAGAACGTTTTTTTATTTATATATGAAAACAGAATACTTTTAGTCGAAAATTTTATAAAAATAGAAAATTTTTATTATAAATTATAAAACTAGAACACTTTTTCCGGAAGGGAATATAAAACAATCTTTATGGGATGGGAGTATAAAACAATATAAAAAAGTTCTACTTTTCCATTTTTCTTTTTTTTTTTTTTAAAAAATGAAATTTCTATGTTCCTTAGTGTGTATTTTTAACAGAACGTCTAATTTACAGAACGTCTATTTTATTTTAATTGTACTTTCAAGATTTTGACAAAAAACAATCGTCTGATTGCATAATGCACCATTTTTATTTTTTTTTTAATATAAAAGTGAGTTCACAGTGTATATAAAATGCATGGTATAAAATTATCTCAGAGGATAAAAATTCAAATGCTCGCTGCAAGTAAATCTTTACTGTATGTCTTTTCACCATTCAATTTTCACCATTCAATTCATTTCTATACAATTAAAAAAAGCAGGTAAAGGCAATCTCTCGGATGAAAAAAAATATATATTTATAAAAAAACAGATTTAATAAATTTAATCTCAGGCGATGATTGTTTAAATTTAGCAAAAATTTTAAAATTTCTTATTTAAAATTTCATTATATCTTTACAGGCTGTTTGTAGTGTTTTTTTATTTTAAATTTAAAATAAATAAAATTGAAAATTTTTTTTTTTTGGTTATATGATTTTCGTCGATTGGTAAAATGGAATTGCTAGCTTTTTCATTTTATTTTCATATATATCAGTGTTCATTTTTTTTCTTTCCTGTGTATAATTTTTTGAGCTAATTTAAAGCTGTAAAGAAATATTTTATTAGAAAAAAAAACTTGTTTATTTTTGGTTTAGTTGTTTTCAAATGACAGGAAACTTTTTGTTCTTTCGGTTTCTTAGTTTTGAAATGTTTATTAAAGTGTGACGAACTTTAAACTCCAAAGCGTTCTAAAAAACATAAGCTTTAAAAACATTTTTTGACCTAGATTGTTAACGATTTTTTTATTTTAACAAATAAGTTGAAAGCAAATTACTTTAGGGCAGGCTGTCGTAAACAACTGTGAGAGCTGCAATCTGCTCAAGAATATTTTGCGCATTAGCAGCATTTCCCTATTCACTCTGCGCTAGTAAAATTAGTAAACGATAAAGCAAAGCTTTTTTATTAAAATAAAATATGGTAGAACCGCAATGATATTTATTGAACTTTGCGTTGCTTTAGCTCTTAGTATATTAGCACTTTGCAATGGGCATAAAAACGCTACTATTAATGAAACAGCCGGTGAGTTTTTCTCAACATTTTTTGATGCATTCCTTTTTTGCAACTATATAAAACTATATGTAACTATATTGAAAAAACATTTTTTTTAGTTTTTTTTTTTTTTCAGAAACAATTTTCTTATTAGAAATAATATTAGAAAAATATTATTTGAAAATCCAACTAGTTACTTAGAATTAACTGTCTGGATGTAGAAAAAAATACGACCGGTTTAACCGTTAATTACGAGAGTTCAATTATTATAATTTTTTAGGCTGCTCGAAAGATTCAGTTAACTATACATGTTAACCACATATTATGGGTGTTAGGGTGTACTACCTAAGTTTGTCAAATTTGTTATTCTATATCTATAGATAATAGTTTATAATACTTATATACTTATGGAAGACATTTTAAAACTTGTAACTTAAGGTAGACATTTAAATTTGATTATCTCAAGCAAACAGCTTTATCAAAATAGGTTATGCTTTTCATATTATAACAAAAAGATATCAATATTTTTAGTTTTTAATCTATATATTATAATTCAATAAATCAAACTAAATTACGCAAATAAATGTGCATGTATTACGCAGTGTACATAAATTATTTGTAGGTGAATTAACTATGGGTTTTGATTATCCCAATATGTAGTCAAGATTATTGATCAAAAGTTAATGTCCTAAATTTTATACGTTGCATTTAAAGATTGCTTTCACTAAATGCATATATAATATGATGTAGAAAGAGGCAATATGCTTTTGATAACTTATATCCATTTTTGTCGAAAACGTGTGCAACCTTTTAGTTGAAACAATATAAGACCAAAAAAATTCGACGTGAAACAATATTTTAATGAAAAAGTAATCAGCAAAAGCTAATCAACACCTTTAATACTCCTAGTAGTAATTATATTTTTCTCAAAAACATGCTTAATAAACAAAGTATTACTCAGCAATATTTATCGTAAGCTATTTTTATGCCTATTATCGTGAGCCTAGATATGCTTATAAGTGTTACGTTCTTAATTAAGCTTTTACGCAATGAATATCGGTATCAATATTAATTCAGACATTTTAGTTTAAAAATAAATCATTTCTTTTAAATAACCTTCTTCAATTTTATCTTGGTACTTAAACATATCTTTAACGAATGCAAAAAATTATTTATGCGATTCTAATATCTTTTTTCCTTACTAAAAAAGTGTACTTATTTGATAAGGCTTATTCCACATATTGTGCGAATATTTAAAATCATTTATTCATACAATAAGTTGAAACTTTATCAGAGTTGGGGTATAGCAAAGTTCACTTTTTTATAATACTTCATTACATTTTGAAGTAATTTTTCATGTTACGAGTTACGTTTACAACGTAGTACTTTTACTTTTTTTTTTACTTTTCAGAATTTTTTACTTTGTAACGAGTTTTTACTTTTCAGAGTTTTTTAATTTGTAACGAGTTACTTATTTACTTTGTAACGAGTTACATTCAGAAAAAAAGTACAAAAAGTACTAAAGCTTCATTGGTTCGAATGAATCGTATAATACAGATAATTTCAAGAAACTGAACACAGTTGATACGTAACCTAAGTACACAACGCAATATGCAAGTTGATTGTCTGTTTGCAAAATTATTTAAAAAAATTTAAAAAAAAAATTGAGTTTGCTGTCTCTAATGAGACGAGGTGAAATTTAAATTACATGTCTGTGGAACTCACGAACAGGCTAATAATAAAAAAATCGATGTGATTAATGGCATTTGAGACAAGCCACTGTTTCGACAAGCTGAAGTAGTATTTATTGCAGAGTATGTCTTTGTTTATGAAGTGTACCTGAAGCTTCTCTCTTAAACCTTAGATATCCTGCAGTGTAAAACAAAGGTTTACATGGCATAACTGGTGCTAAATAAAATGACTTTATAAGCGAAAGCGCATTTCCTTCTTCGCAATAACTCAATGGTAAGCATGGATTGCAGATTTTATCTGTAATCTGTAACTAAAATTTAAGACAGGTTGGATCAAAAGCAAAAACAATTTTAATTGCAAATTAATAACAAAATAAATGACCTGGAATTAATAAACTGATATTCCTGGAAAACAAAATTCAACAGCAGAAGTAGCTTGCTAAAAGTGTGAAAATGCAAGTACATATTATGCATATGAAACAGCTATGTATAAAAATTAAATTCTTTTAATTTTGATTTTCAAATGATATATATTTTAATAGTACCCATGTTTATAAATACGGAACACAACCTAAACAAAAAAAAAATAAAAAAATAAATGTAATTTCCAAGAAATCAAGCTAAATAATATATCCTCATAATATAGTATAAAAATGCAGTAAACAATAGTCAGTCTGTTGCAGTAAATATACTATTGATTGATTGATAGATTAAATACTTGCAAAGTTTCATTTCAAGATGATATAAAAACTTATTTATAGTATGTTAATATTTGATGTATTTGCTTTTGCAAACCATGAAAGTATTTTTTACTTAATATACTTTTTTCTTAAAATTAGAGAGACTTATACTCCGTGGCGTATCTAGGTAACCAAGAGCCCTGTGGCAAATTAAAAAATGGGGCCCCACTGCAATGTAAACTGATTAGATTTTATCAAATAAAAATATGAAATATACAAATACTTTAAAAATGCAAAGCTACTTAAGCTCTTTTTTGTGCACTGCAGGGCAGGTAATAATAATATTAAACAGTAACAGCATAAATTACAATTAATACTTGGTGTAGGTTTGGCTAATAAAACGAAATAAAGAAGATTCAAGGGTTTATTATATAAAGGTCGGGCCTACCATTATTTTAAAGCGATTGACGCAATTTTCTTACAAAGATTTCTGGTAAGGATTCGAGAGCCCCCTGAGCTTGAGGGCTCTGGAGCACTGCCCCGTGTAGTCCCTAGGTAGTTACGCCACTGCTTATACTTATAATTACTCAAAAGTAATGTTTCTTGAGTTTTTTAAAAACTTTTTTTTCATCATGTTTGTTTATTAACAAAGTGTTTGAATAACTTTGTTGAAACTTGCTGGTTTAAAAGGTGTTTTAAATCAAGTACTCAACATACAAATTCAAGCAGTGATGTAACGAAAAGCTCTGGGGCGTTTTGGCAAAATACTTTATTGGGCCCTAACTTTTTTAATACCTAAGTTTTGTTCAATATACAGTACTCTTAAGTTTGTGAGCTTTTGTCAACAAACAAACTCTCATATGAAACTCTTTAAACTACGCCAAATTTTTTTTAAATTTTTGTTCAAAATAAAACGACATAACACAGCCTTAAGTCACACTAAAAATATTTATTTTTAACTACAATACAATAAGAATATCATTTCTGAAGAAACATCTTATTCTGTAAATAAACTGACACGTGATTTTTTTATTTGAAAAATCTCTAATGACTATTTTTTTTTTGTCTGAAAGTGCAGCTTCTTTATTGCTAGTAAAGTTAATTAAAAAAGTTGATCTTAAGAAATTGTAAACTAAATTTTTCGATGATCTTAAGTATTTGATGGTACACAAGATGCAACAGTCACTGTGTTATAAAAAAAACACACGCAGTTGCTAATTCTGGCATTGAAGTAGCTAGTGTCACTTTAACTAGATGTTGCAAAACATCTCGAACAGTCTCAATTTTGCTGGTTTGATCGAACTTATTTTTAGAGTATGGTTTAACAAATTTAGTTGCAGCAAATTCCATTTTAGTTTTCTAAAAATTGAAGTTCTGCATGGGCCATTGAGAGTAAAATAGTTTTTTATTTAATATTTGTTTGTTCTGGAGCTCGAGAGATTAATTACACAAAGTAATCTTTGATCTATAACGAATTCAAACTTTCTAACAGCATTCCGAAGACCAAATACGTTGTCGCTCTCCGTCTTGCGTTGTTCCAGATATTTTTTCGAAGTACTTAAAGAATGTTAAAATACCTAATTTTTATTGCACGGAGCCCATCTACTCGAGAAGACCAGCTTCTATGACAAAGTGTTTTCAACTTTAATGCCATTATAGGCTGTGATGAGAAAGCCAGGTCTGAGCACCGTTTTAAACTGGATCCTATAAAGTTGAAAAACTTATTTAGTGTTATGGCTGTTATATTGACATTAATCGCATCATTGATAACAAATTTTAAGTTATGAGAAAAGCAATGCATCCATGGCACAGGTGCTGTAGCAATCAAATCTCTAAATTTAATCCAAATGAAATTTCCACGTTATGGCTGTTTCATTGACTTCATCAATAACCAACCAGGTAATGAGAAGAGCAATCTATTACCAAGTTATCTCAACCTCCAAATAGTTTTCAAACTCAACATTTTTTTCAGCTCATTACACTGGCTCCATTAGATTTATTTCGCAATTTTCATAATTCAAATCTAACCCACGTAAAACTATGGAAATGAAATCAACTAGGCTGATGTTACTTGTATTATCAATTATGTTTAAACAAAACGTATATGATCAAATACTAACTGATTTAGACATATCGGAAATAATTTCCCTTTTTGAATTTTAGGACAGAGATATTTTGTGGAGCGAGCAGGTAAACGTGTAGCTTTTTGTAAAAAAGTTACACGTTTATCTGTAAAAACTAAATGTTTAGTTAACTTAGTGTGTCAAATTTAACTTGTCATTAAATTAAGGTAGTTACCTAAATTAGTGTGTCAAATTTAACTTGCATAGAAACCAAATTCAAAAAGTTTTCTCCTTCACATGCAATAATAAACAAAGATAAACAAAGTTTTGCAAGGATCAACTTAATGTTAAAGACTCGCACTAACATTGTATTGCATTTCGCTACAGCAACTTCTGCATTTTGTTTTTTTTTTTTCGTTTTGCAGACTCTTATGATTATTTTTATGTAAAATACAGAGAGACAAAGTTTATAGAACGTCTAAACTATTGTTTAATCAACGTTTAAATCTACAGCATTTAAAATATAATATTTTGCATTAAATGTTAATATTCTGAATGAATTAAAAAATTAAAATTTTTATATAATTTTGCATTATATAAAAATTAAAATTTTTATATAGTGCAAACTAATTATTTTCTTTGCTGTTGTTTTTAAGGTTCTCCAAAAAGTCCTTAAGGTCTTATCAAAGAGCATCGCGGAGGGGCATTTTAGCATTTATGCTATTTTTGACTTATATTTTATCACTTATAAGTGATTATTATTATATTAACTACTCGGTGTAGTTAAGACAAAATATTAGAGCGTCTGTATGATATTTTGTTGACAACGACATATTTTCTTTAGATGATCCGGTCTGTGAATTATGAAAAGACAAAAAAAATTAAAATTATAAATTTTGCGATATCATAAAATATAAATGTTCGTAGCGAAAAAAATCAGACCGAAGATTCTTTTATTATTTAAAAAAAAAAACCCTTAAAATCGTGATTACTTGTACAAATTTGATTAAGATTTTAAATAAATACGCCTTTTGGTGAAATGAAAGTCATAGTTTAATAATATGATCTGTTCTGATAAGTTATTGGCAATTTTTTTTATTTACATGCTCTTCCTTGGTTGAGTTCTAATGCTTTTTTTGAAAATTGATAGAAATATTGTACCTTGACAACTGTGTTTTTTAGATTCACTATTAGTGGTGGTAAAAAGAAAAATTATATAAAAAAAGAAAAGTTTTTTTAAATATTTAGAAAACCTGAAGCAAAAAACAATTATAACATCTAAAGTCAAGGCCGACGACACCGGGGGGGGGGGGGGCTAAGCCCCCCTCACACTTTTTTTTACTAAATTGATGATTGTATCCCCCCACTTCAAAACCCGTGTCGTCGGTCCTGAAAGCTCTTCTTTGGACGTTAAAATCATATTAATTTCAAATAAAACAATTCAAATAATTCGTAAATCGCCTTAACTACACCTGCATATAGTTAATATACGTACTTTGCGTTATAACGCAAATATGATGTCATAGCTAATGTATAACTTGTAACGCGTTATAACTTATAACGCTACGACATCATATTTGCGATTTAATAAAGTCAAATATTATCCTATAGTTTATGAATTAATGTAGTTTGTTTTGATATTTTAGAAACAAATAAAAAATTGCTCACTAATTGAAGTATTAGTCAAAGTTACCAGCTAAAAAAAATAATCTGAAACAGAGTTTGCATTTCTTAGCTACATAATGATAGTAAAAATTGTAAAATGTTATTTTTTACAGAGACAACTTTTTAACCATTTTCTTTGATTGATTTGGGCCCCTAATAACTCTAGACTCTAGTTCGCTGCAAACTGTTAACCCTGGTGTGAACGTTAACTCTGATTTTCACAGGCTGTACAATCTGATTGGACGTTAATAAATATAAAAATAAACCAATCAAAATAGCAGTGTAAATGTTTTAAGTAAATAAAAGATAAAATAATTAAAAAATCCAGCTCAAGTGAACCATTAAATGTGTTTATTAATTACCCTTGAATATATTTTCAGATATTTTCTAAAGAATAAGTAATGGTTAACTGGTAAAAAAATGTGGTGTTGAAATAAAAATTTATTTGGCTGTTATTTTTAAGTGATATTGTTATTGTGAATTCATTGTTCTAAATCATAAAGAAATAAATTATTTGCAAAGTTATACACACACACACACACACACACACACACACACACACACACACACACACACACACACACACACACACACACACACACACACACACACACACACACACACACACACACACACACATACACACACACACACACACACACACACACACACACACACACACACACACACACACACACACACACAAACTTTCACCACTCCTTAACAAAGATATTTAGCAAAAAAGTTGATTTATCCGGATGTTGCATCAGCCCATTTACTAATTACCAGTTATAAAATACTGCATGTAAAACAATTGAGGGCTCAAAAAAGAGCTAAGAACTTTTTACTGTAGATATTTATAATTAGAAATTTTGTACATATATTTTTGGTTTGAAATTTCCTCATTTTTTATTTTTATTTTCAAAAACTGCTTTTTGTAGTGTTAAAAGCCACAAGACATTTTAATAGTATCAAAATGGATTTATTACTTTAATCCTAAGTTTTTAGATTAAAAAGTAAATTTCTATTTAAACTACTTTAAGTAGTTTTAAATCAAAATCAAAAGCGCTTATAAATTTACTATTTCATTTTCTTTCACTTTTGTTATTTTAATTCAAAAGAAGCGCTTATAAATTTAAATCAAAAGATATATATCATTTAATTGGCACAAAAAAAAAAAAAAAAAAGCAAAATATGAATTTTTTAGACTTAAAATTTTTTAAAGGATAACAATTATTAAGTTTGATACTTAGCTTGAAAAAAGGTCTCCATCATTGAAGAATTCAGAATATCATATTCTAAGCTGCTTGATGGTTTTTGTTCATTAATCATATATATCTGTTAAAAAATCTGTTAAAAGCATAGAAAGTAGTAACAAATAAAAACTTGAAGTTAAATTTGGTGTAAGTTCTCAATAGTACATTGTACTAACATTAAATTAACATTTTATCTATACAATTCTTTTGAGTATATTTTTTTTAGCAGTTTTGAACAAAGAGTATATAAAGACTACAGGAGAAAAAGAAACCTTACAAAATAGTACAGATAAGCGAAGCAGTCAGAAATCAGATGGTTCTAATGATGCAAAAAGTAAATATTTAACCTGATTTTTTAATTTTAATTTCTATTTCTATTATTGTTGTTATTATTGTTACTATTATTATTATTATTATTATTAATATTGTTATTGTTACTATTGTTATTATTATTATTATTGCTATCATCATTGATAATTATAATTGCAAATTTATTGGCTTACTTTTATTAAAGAATTTATTATCTTTTACAAAGCAAGTAGATTGCGTTCCAAAAGAGTAGTTTTTATCATTTATTAATTTGAACAAATTTAATTTTTTATACTACTTCTCATTATACTACTTCTGTTTTTATAAAAATCTGTTTTCCTTTTTATTGTTTAGGTAATTAGTTACTAAGTGTATTTTGAGACTAACTTCATAATTACTATTCTACCATTAAACATTAAGTATACTTAACATAATCAGAGTTCTGTTATTTTTATGTTAAAGATTTAGAGTTAGAGATTTTTATAAACAAACATAAAAAATTAATCTCTGGTGACCTGTCACTTTTACTCTTTTTCTAAAATCTAGAAATATGTTTTGGAATAATAATATTAAAAAGACAATATAACTGCACTTGTGTTAATAAGACAATTATTCAATGTTTTTTTTTTTTCAAATCATTTTAATATTAATACTATGACAACACAAAAAAAAGCTGGTTTTGCAATGAATTTGATATATCATTTCAAAAAGTTGTAAAGAGTTATTCAAAATTGAGTTAAAAAACTCACTAAAAAAATTGAAGACTCACTAAATATATATATACATTTGCAGTTATTGGAATATCAAGGCTGTTGTAATAACCAATTAAAAAACCAATGAGAAGAAATATGTTTACATATACTTAAAATATTTTTTAACTTTCTATTATTTTAAGTCATAATTTTGTTTATAAAGAAAAAACATGAAACAATAATTTATTTAAATGAATGGTTTAGTATGAAAATTTATTGATTATTTTATGTTAAATGATTACTATTACTATGCACAAAGTTGTTTGTACAATAGTAGATGATTAATTAATTATAGATAAAGCAATTGTATGCACAAAGTAGATGAGGTTGTACAATTGTAGATGATTAATTGTAGATAAAGTAATTTTATGCACAAAGTAGATGAGGTTGTACAATTGTAGATGATTAATTGTAGATAAATTAATTTTATGCACAAAGTTGATGAGGTTGTACAATTGTAGATGATTAATTGTAGATAAAGTAATTTTATGCACAAAGTTGATGAGGTTGTACAATTGTAGATGATTAATTGTAGGTAAAGTAATTTTATGCACAAAGTTGATGAGGTTGTACAATTGTAGATGATTAATTGTAGATAAAGTAATTATATGCACAAATTAGATGAGGTTGTACAATAGAAAATTAATAATTGCAGATAAAGTAATAGTAGAATTGTAGATAAAGTAACTGTAGAAAAGTAATTGAGTAGATGAGGTTGCACAATAGTTTATAATAATTACAATAGCACAATAGCTTGGATTGCCCAATGATATTAAGATTAAAACTTCAAATGATGCTTAGAGACAACTAAAACTTTGTTCATACTAATTCAACTTTTCAATAATTTTCTTCAAATATGGTAAACACTTGATATTTTATTTTTTCTATTAAAGTGTCAATAGGAATAATCATAAAAAAAAATTTAAATACTAAATAAAAAAACTGATCAGATTTTATTTCATATACAAATCCAAAATCTGATAAATTTAATATACAAATTCTAAAATATAAATTAACTGACACATTGCAGTTAAATAACTATCAACTTGATAAACAAGATAATTTTTTTTTTTTATTTGAATTCACTCCCAACAAGGCTGCAAGCAACCACTATAAAGTTAGGAGTTACAAGGAAAAAAAAAGAACAAAGTTATAGAGCAAGGAAACGGTTGACAGAAGACTTGAAAAGTTGAAGGTTGTATGAGTCAGGAAAACATGAAGATGGGAGAGAGTTCTAAAGGATTGAAGTGCGGGGAAAAAAACTAGATGAATAAAGGTTTTTAGAGCATGCAGGGACAGATACAGTATATTTATAAATTTTACAATTTATAAACATGGTTAACAAACTTGCCTGAGCAACAGAGTTGCAAGTTTACTTATTTTAAAACTAGTGAAAGTAGTAAATTTATTCATTATGTTATTAAAAACAAATGTTTTTAACAACATAAGCTAAAAATTAAGTGTACAAGTTTTATTTAACAGCAATATTATTTAATAAATGTGAGAATTTTAATGAAATAGTCAAAAACAAAAATTTTAAATTCAAGTTTCAACATAAACTTTTTTTATGTAAAAGAAAGAAAAAATCAAGTAGTCTAAAATTAATTATGTAATTATTTATATAAAAACAGAAACTTATCTTCTCATAAGAATAAAATTTAGTTGTTCTTTTATAAATAGGTAATGATGATCTTTATGTCAGTGGACTCACTGAGCAAATTTTTAAAAACATTGATGGTTACAAAGTAAAAGATGTAGTATCTGCTCCAAATTATCCTGACAATCCTGACGAACAAAATGCAATTCCTAACATTGATATCCCATCTACTGGTTACAAAGGATATACAAATTTTGGTGAAAGAATTTTCGGCTATTTTAAAGCTCCTCTTGATGGCGAATATATTTTCAACATATGTATGTAAAATTTTTGTAACATTTTTTTACAATTTTTTAGCTAAATTATTAAAGTATTTATATTGTTTTATACTTTAGCTAGTAATAATAATGGACAGCTTATGATAAGCACAAATACAGATAAAGCCAACCTTAGAATTTATGCAGAAGTTAAAGGTCCAGTAATTGTTAAGTATGGAGAGTTTGATCAGTAAGTCAATATTTTTGTTAGTTTAATTGTGGTTTATCCTTCTGTTAATTATAAAATAACTCATGTTGAAGTAATCATAGATTTTATCTTTTTGAAAGATGATTTAAAGATGACATATCTATTCCTTTAACTATAAATTTAGTTAGTTAAACAAAAAAATAAACAGGAACTTATATCTTATCATTATAGATTTAAATTATTTGCTAAATTTAATGTTTATGAAATATTTTTAACAGATATATAGATAAAAAAAAAGTACAATAAGCTATTTTAAATAATAAAAACTAAATAAAAAAAAAGAAGAAAAATTTAATACTTTGGTACTTTTTATTGGTTTTTTAGCTTGTGTTTGAAACATTTATTTAAAAATATGTTAAGTTCTGTATATAAATATTGGAACAAATGTGGGGACACATCCTCATATAAATATGGGAACACATATATAGATGCATCCTCTCTTAAATAATCTTAAATACTTTAGAAAGTCTTTTAGACTAAAGTATTTAAAAGTATTTAACTATTTAAATGTTGCTTAGTCAAACCACACGACTATTAAAATTTTTAGACTATTTATTTAAATTCATGTTCCTTAGTCAAACCACATGAGTTTATGCCTACTTCATATTAGAAGTATTTAATAGCACCATACAGCACTAAAAATAAAAAAGAGATTGGTTTCAATAGATGTGTGAGCTGACCAAACCGAGAATGAAAGGCTTGAGTCTTCTAAACTCTGTGTTGAGTGTAGAGCCAGAAATGAAAAGTTAATGAAAGAAGTAAATGACTTACTGATCACTTTATTTAAGTCTTCACTTTATTTTACTCTTGCAAAATTTCTTATTATTGCAACATCATGGATTTTTAACTTTTATCATTGCAACAGCGTGTATTTGTTAAATTAAAATTGTGTTTTATCTTTTGAATTTGAAAAATTAATTTTGTCCATGTCCAACCTGTGGTGTATGGTTTTCAGTATTGGTAAATGTATAGTGTTAAATTTTGATAATAAATCATTACGTCTGAATAATCCATTTTATATGGTGTTCACAAATGGCAGTTGTATTCTATTAGAGGGTGTCTGTGTTGATAGAACTCTTGGAACTTATACAAAAGCTAAGATAAAATGAAATAAACAAATAAATTAAGGAAAAGGTTGGGAGTCCTATTTTAGCTATGTTCAAGAATATTTTTTAGAAATGGAATGCATCCATGGTTCTCAACTCTACAGCATTTACTCAGAAAGGAAATTAAATAGCTTAAACAAGTGCAGCGTGTGCTACTGGTTCAATTTCACAGCTGCTGAAATTCAGTTCACGAGATGACTTAGTATAGAAGTATTATGTTATTCTAAAAACTTTAAAATAGTCAAGTTAAAAATTTTTATACAGTTTCTTTGATAAAAAGAATAGAGAAGAAAATAAAATATGATTTTTTTTTTTTGTTTCAAAAATTAACATATTGGGGATTGACAAGTAAATGAATAACTTATGGGCACATAAATTGACATAATTAAAATCCTAAAGTTTCTAAAACAACAGTTTAATTTTACTTAAACTTAAAACACAGTTTAAAAAGTTTAATTGTTAATTGTTACTGTGTAATTAAACACTAAAAAAATTAGGGGAAAAGTGCCTATGATGGCATAGCGCCTATGATTGCATAATGGTCATATTTTCATAAATATTGGTTATGGCGAAAAAGTGATTAGACCAACATGTCTATACTGACTTTATATTAGTTTTAGTAAAATTACATCCCTTATGCACAAATATTGCTATCATAATCAAGAAAAATAGATTTTGGGATGTGATGTTGTGTTTTTAATCTCTTTAAATATTTAATATTGTGAGTTTAATATTAATTGTACAGAAATAAAATTTTCATGGATTTTATTTCCATGTTTTGTGCATTTATTGGAATACTTACTTTAATTTTATCTTTTGAACAAAGCAGACATAGCTTGTTTAAATGAAAATGATGACTTCTTCCTATGATGGCATACTGACGAGTTAGGTGTGTTGCAATATTGAGGAGTAGAGAAAACCTTTTTTTTTATATAAAAACAACAAACTTGTTATTGAAGTAAAAAGAAATTTTTACTTAACTAAAAAATTTATGGTTCAAAAAACACATAAAACGCAATATCTCTTATGCGCATGCGCGAAATTTGACACTGCTGCTGTGTAGCACGAAGGGGTTAGTTAGAATGATTAGGCGTAGTTTCTGGCATTTCTGAGGGAAGACTCTTAAGTCAAATGAAATTTTCAAGTTACCCTTGATGCTAACCAACCCCATCCTTCCCTATGCCACCATAGGAGCAATAGTTGCTTATGATGGCATACTTTTGCTTTTTTTTTTAAATAAAAATAACTAATAAAAAAATAAAACTGATGAAAACTCCTAAGGTTATTATTGTTCTACATGTAACAAAGAATGTATCCATATTAAATCCTTTGTTCTTGGTCTTCAGGATACTGTATAATGATGCTTCAAAGTTAAGTATGGCATCATAAGCGCCTTTTCCCTAATGTTATCTAATTAAAGATGTATGTGTTGTTAAAATTGTACACCTTTTAGTGAATCAACTTTAGTATCTTAATAAATGAATAAATTATTATCTTTGCTTTTATTTTAGTGCATTTTTTTTAAACTTAAATTTTTTTTTTTTTTTTTTACCAGAATTTTCAAAGTAATAAAATTTGTGAGTAAATTTGAAGTTCAAGAAAAAACTGATTTCAGCTTTTTAATTTTATTAGTTTTAAAAAACTAATTTCATTTTAACATTGATTAAAATTTAAAATCTTTAAACCAGGATGTTAACTAAGCAAATTTAAAAATTACTATCTCTAAATAAACAATATCAACATGTAACAAATAAACGATATTAACATATAAACAATTAACTATTTATTTAATAAATTAAATATAAACTATTAATTAAATATAAACAAATAAACAATATTAACAAACTATATTAAAAAAAAAAAAGTTTTATGTTAATATTATTATATATTAAATTATCAACTAATCATACTTAGCTCTTTTTTTCCGCTATTTTGCTATTACCTCCTCAATGAAAATAATAATTAAAAAAACCATGAAAAAATGTTTTGAAGCAATAAATGTGTGAAATTTTTTTTTCACAATGTGAAATTGCAGATCCACACAAATCAAAAATGTTTTAAACAAATTTAAGTATAATAAAAAACATAGAAATGAAAGTGAAGGGAAAATAATATATTTATTTGTAACAGTTAATCTATAATAATTTAGACAGACCAATGTTCTTTGTGTTTGGTGTAATCATGTAAAAAATTACGTGATATTTTGATTTTAAAGAATTTTTTACACTACATGTAATTAGTCTAAGTATTTTTAAAAATGTCTGTTTTTCTTGAACACAGTAAAATATAATTATGAAGCACTTCAAATAAATTCTTTTGTTATTATTAGGAACCAGTATAATGTTTCCAACATATTAAACTGGTTTTATATAAGACCACTTTTGTATAGTGCTTTCCTAACATAGTTTAGAGTGCTTTAAAATTCAGTTCTGCAAGATTAACAAAACAAATTTTAGCATATTTTAACAACATATTTTAATATTTCTTAAACAATGATTAGATCATAGTTAGATATAATTTTATTTATTTTATAAATTTACTTTTACAAAGGAAGAAAACCCAACTTATTGAATAAACCCTGTTATTCTGTAATCAAGTCTAAACATGTCTAAATTATCTGGTTAATATAATCAGCACTTTTTTTTAAATTGTAAAACAATTGTGAACTGCCATTCCATTGCATCAAGCAAGTGTGTAAAAACCTACTGTTTCATAATTAAACTTTGGTTTTCATTAAAAAGTATTGTGGGTATACGCATAATTTGCAGACATTGGTTCAGCTATTTGTTAAGTAATTAGGATAGTCTGTCTCATTTTCTTACTGCCCCCCCCCCCCCCAAAAAAAAAAAAAAAAAAGAAAAAAGAATTGCACATTAATTATTATGCACAAGTATGCTGCAGCCATTTTTTAAAATGACTTGAAATAATAAATGCTTATTACGTATTTCAATAAAAATTAAAACTTTTTTTAAAACTAACAAAAAATTATTACATGAAACTCTTTCTAAAACTTTTTTTAAAACTAACAATTTTCATGAATTTTGTTGTAATTTTTTAAAAACATTTATTTAATAAAATTTGTAGGCATCTAATTTAGCTTATTCTGTAAAAAAGTCAAGTCTTATCTTTTGAAGTGTTTTGAAAAATAGCTTCAGTATGTTTATATAATGAGCTTTATTTGTATTTTACCAGTTAGAAAGTTGGCTAGTAAAACACTGAATGCAGTAAACATTTTGCTGATTGAATTCTTTTAAAGTATTAATGTTGTAACTGCCATCAACTTTTTTTATGTGCAATAAAAATCTTAATTTTGAAGATTTAAAAAACATTTGTTGATCTATTTCCCTGTTAGTTTTGAATGGTTGTATACACCATAAACTTGCTCTTTGATTCAAACATTTGCTTGGAGCCTTTTCTACAATAAATGATACTGATATAGCATTATTGGTTATTTGTAAATTTTTACATTATTATCCATAAGCTCTTAATTTAATACAAAAAATTGCTAATTTCTATGAGGAGCATGTTTTATGCCATGTTCTTTAAGTGTACCAAGGTGGCAGTCATTAGAGTATGTCGTTTACAAAGGTTTTTAACATTTGTTTAAATAAAAATTGCAAGCTTGCAGCCATGCAAGGTTTCTTTGTTACTTCTGTTTTAGATGAGTTTTTTTGCAAATTTACTCTTGTATTGGGATGTGTTCACTGTTATCTCTCCTGACTCCTGTAAATGTATCACTACAAAAAAGAGTAATTTTATAAATTAGTGTTCTTGCAGTATATGTTTGCAGTATATAATATAATATGAAAAAGACAGTCAAAAGCAAAATATTTTCAGAAAATTGATGATTATATAAAGGATATAATGGTAAAATAGGATATAACTGGATATGTTTTAATAGGATATAACTTGGTCATGTTTTATCGAAAGTATCAAAAGTAAAATTCGAAGATTACAAAAATCAAATAATTAGAAAAATTAGAAAAGAGTATAAATATCTCAGTTGCTTGTGTGCTACCATTTGGCAAATTTTATTTGCCAAAGTTTTTATATAAATATCTCAGTTGCACACCTGCAAAGACAACTGGATTTAGAATGATGTAGTAGTAAAAATTAACCCAAGCCACAAAAAGTTGTTGTAATCTAATGACTATTGAATTTTTCGCATTCTTCTTGCATAGAATGTTGTTTTTTTTTAATAAAAAATTCTATAGACTGTGCAACTAAATAAATTGAGCTCAAAGCTCTGCTCTGTGTTATCAATGAAACACCAAAATAAAGGATTACCAGATAAAAGCATAGACTCAAAGCTCTGCTCTGTGTTATCAATGAAACACCAAAATAAAGGATTACCAGATAAAAGCATAGACTCAAAGCTCTGCTCTGTGTTATCAATGAAACACCAAAATAAAGGATTACCAGATAAAAGCATAGACTCAAAAATATTTATTTTTATTTTTATTTTTACTATTGTTATACTTTTACTTAGGACTTTTTATTTAATTTTTGTTATTTTCTTATTTTGTTACATTCTTTGCACTTATTTTAAGGTTACATAATAAACTCACAATTTAATGAAAATCATCATCAAATTTGAATATTTTTTTAAAGATAAATAAACTTTGCAAAAAACTAAAAACTAAAATATTATATAAAAAATATTCATTAAGTTGAATAGCAAAAGAAAATATGTCTAGTTTTTGTTTTAGTTGGCTTGATTGACTTTTTGGCTGATCAAATTGACAAATTTATGTATTTTTCATGCTGAAATGAACAAATTTAAGTTATACAAATTCATTTTTGTTAGATTAAAATTGATTAAAATTTCTTTCTTAATAATCTTAAGGTAATAATTTTACAAATGAAATGTTTTTATTTTAAAACAATAACTTTAGTTTTAATTATTAAATTTAATTATTAAAAACAAATACTAATTTTTTTATTTTATTTTTTAAAGATTTTAAATTACTCTATTATTTATAGTTAAAAATATTTATAAATTTTTAAGCTTAGAGAAGCAAGGATCAATGCCAATACCTATGAAAGCCGGAGAAATGTATTATTTGCAAGTGTTACACAAAGCATTGTTTGGTTTGAATCATGTACAAGTGGGAGCTCTATTTCCAGACAAAACAAAACATTACCCATTGGAATCGAAATATTTCTTTACTTTGAAAGGTAACAACATATGAATTATGAACATAATAGAAACAGTAAAAGTTCTACATATGAGTTGAACTTTTACTGTTTCTATTAACAATTGTTTGGCTTTGTTGAAATAATATTTAAGAGGGTGTCTAAAGATTGTAATAAAAGTGTGATAAGGGTGTCTAAAATTATTATTGGGCTATTAGTGTTATTGTTTTTAAAAAAGATTATTGGTTAGGTAAGAGTATTAGGACTCACATTTATAGATACTTTTTTTTTTTTTTTTTTTTTTTTTAATTTTAATTCACCTCCTCAAGGCCGAGAAGGCCACTACAGACGAGGAGGCTACTTACAATATATTGAAAGATGCATTGAGTGTATAGAATAGAGATAGAGGAATGTAAGTGCTAAAGTTGTTAGGATAAGGAATCACATAAATATATAGTTTGTAGGGTATATTGATTGAATCCTAAAATTTGTATTCCTCATTGTTCAAGGGATAGCAATTTAAAATAAATGTTAATTTATTATTATTTATTTTTAATTATTAAAATAATTAATTAATTTTTAATTGAGTATTATA